CCCCAAAACCCCAAAACCCCAAAACCCCGTGAATAAAGATATCAATATGCTTAATGTATTGTAAATTCTAATAAAATACATTACTTCAGAGTTTATACTTTGCTAACTCAACTTAAATTCGGCAGAGGAACATTAACAGTTAGCACTAGTTTCGTTCCAGCTATTTGTGTATTCACAATGGGCACCTTATCGTAGCCTATGTTCATCAATGCACCAATTATCAATCCTACTACAAAACTTTCATAGCACTTGATTTTCTGTTTATACTCTTTAGACTCGTGATCATTGTTGCTTACCCTGCCAGTAAACTTAAACGCTTCGTCTGTGAATATATAAGTGCCAGTGTTATTAGTTCTGAGGTTGTCGACCTGCTTTGAGAAAGTGAACTTCCAAAACTCTGTGCAGATAAACTTCATGGTATCTAGCTGAGTCTGGAACTTATACTGAATGTCTCTAATCAGCAGGTCAATGATCTTTCTCCCCAGAGTACGTGCTATCATATCGATTTCATGATATATGTCTTGCTAGACTGTTGATGCTTGCTACTGTGACTGCTGGCCAGGAGCATTTGAGCTGATTTAAGAAGCCTCCTTGTTTTTATGCTTTTGAATGATCTGCTCAATAGACTCATAGATAAATAACTCGTAGAAGCTGTCAAAGATCTCGTTTTGAGGCTACCTGACTGGCTAAGTAGAAGAGCTTATCATTCCAGAGGTGCTCCCGAATTGCTGACTCTGACTAAGAGAGCCCTGTACTTAGGAGCTGGTTGGTCTTTGACTTGCCTGTGAAGTATTCATTTTATAACCTAATTTGATAATATTATAAATTGCAAGATTATTATTTAGGAATTTGATCTTTCAATTGTAATTAAAATATATAAATATTAAATGGAGACATACGAGTGGCAGAAGAACAAGGCAGTCGTAGATAGACTCTACTACACCGAGAGAATCTTACTTGGCACCTCTCTTATGGCAACAGGAGCCACCGCAACAAGCTTGCTCTACATCTAGAAGAACTATTTCGCAAACACCATGAGAGCAAGAATTCCAAAGGTGTGGACCTACTGGGCTGTATTCAACGCCGTCTCATTGTTCGTGCTTCTAAGACCTCTTACCAAGGAAGAAATCACTGTTCAATGGAGAAAGAGAAAGGTCATGGGCAAATGGCTTTACTCTCTCTACCATCTCGACCCCATTGAAGTTGCAGAAAAACCAAGCCACTGAGGAGCTGAAAATCACTGAGAGAAGGCGGAGGGGGATAGTACCTTTCTTACTCACTCAAGATGATTATAATCGCTCTCCCTTCTGGTTAGAGGTGATTAATTTTATTTAAAATGATTTATATAACTTATCATGTTCATAAGTATAAGACTCAATAATAGCTCGCATGAAATAACCTATTAAAATTACAAATAATCAAACTGTTAGTTAGATTTGAATCATGTTGAGAAGTTTAAGATAAACTCAAATTTATCGAATATTATAAGTTTTACTATCTATCATTACAAAGCCCCGTTCCTTAATTCAAAGTACTCATTGGTCTAAGGGTCGTAATAGCACTTTAACTATGTATCATATATCAATTGCTTCTTCTTACTGTTGGCATTGCTGTTTATATTCACTATTTCACTGTTATTGCTCTTAATGGATTTATTCTAGAAAGGAGTATTGTTAGTTAAGGTAGAACCACGCTCTAAAGAGTCTCTAAGCATGTTTTCTTCCTCGATAAGCGTTTAGTTCTTGGTGGAATTTTCTCTATTTAGATTGTCCTGGTTTATATCATTGTCGTTGAATAACTCCTCTTCTATTGGATTCTTGATCATGTAAGATTGCTATAGTTCTTCTTTTCTCATTGTAGACATTTTAGAACTTGTTCCTATTCCTAACTACTACATCTTGACTATCTACTGGAAGGGTGGAGTGAATGGTCTTTTCTAAGAAGTACTATTATCTATCAGATATTGCAAGCGAATGGGCACGCCTCCACTGATTGGCGCTTAGTACAGTTCATAATCCTCATTGTCGTTGTTGTTATCATCAAGAGTATTATCAGCATAAGGATTTATATTCTCTTCAATATGATCCTCAACTGATTCTTTATTCCTTTGGAACTAATATGCATCTTTATAGGGGTTATTATCATCTTTACTTTGCTGTAAAGTTTCATAATTTTAAACTTAATTTCTAGGTGAATTTTAGTTTAGCTTATTGATGAATTTGAGTTTTGCTGAGGCATCACTTTATTTAATCTTGGGGACAAGAGGTGGCATGTTCAATCCAGCTATCTTACCATGCTTACGTTAACCTCCTCCAAGCACAGGAGTGTCAGTACAACTTTAAGTAACAATGTCTTCTTCAATAGAGTCATTATCACTTTAATCAATTAATGTGTTATTGTTAGTGTTATCATTTCCAGTATTAGTCAGTAACTTATTATCCCAGCCATTTACAGTAGTAGTTTAGAGACCATAAATGTTCTCTTTCTTAGTTTGATCTTTATTTGCAATGAAATTGTTATTAGTGAATCTAAGAGTCTTGTTTTTAAATGTTTCATCTTCATTCATATCATCCCCAGTTGAAAATTTCCTGACTGTTGCTCTATTAGGATCTACATTTTTTACAAAGGCTCTTTGCTTTGTAGCAGAGTTTGCATTTGACTAAGAAAATCTTTTATTGTTTTGATTTCTATTATTAGCTGCTGCTGCTTTGGAAGAGAGTCTATTCTACTTTAGACCATTTCCAACTACTCCGATACTATCATCAATGTTCCCAAGATTTAAAGTATTCACTTCAGATTTTTACTTTTCAATACCTTATCCATAAAGATTAGAAGTATTGCTTTCTTTTTTGTTTGGTGGCTGTTACTATCTCATTTTACTTCTTTATTGCTAGTTGGTTCTATTTTTAGCAATCATTTTAGAAGGGTTCTTAGATTCATTTCCTTTCACCTCTTCTTGCTGATTATTATTATTTAAGATAAGATTCTGAATATGCATCTCGTTTACTTAGGATACTCTTTCACTTTATGCTACAGTCTCATTTTCCTCAAGGATCGTTGATTGATGAAATTTCTTATAGTCATCAAAGGTACTTTATTACTAAGAATGCAATTAAGAACTAGTGAATTTTTCTTATTTAGGAGTCACCATATTATTCTGATACTAACTTTAGGAGGTACTATTCTGTTAACCATTAGTATTTTACTAGCTAATATTCTGATTGGTTAAGTTAAAACCCTTTGATGTGTTTCTTGTATTATTGCCTTGATACTTTGTGCTGTATCTATGCTAATTTGTTTAAGTTTCTGGTCCAGGAGATTTTCTATTTTAGGAATGATACAATCCTCTTGATTGTTAAGGAGTTGCATTCAGATTCTTATCTTTTGATACGAAACTACCTTTGTTAATTGCTCCTGCGGATGTTCTTTATATTTGCATATCATCTTCATTTTATTCATTGATACTTTGATTGTGTAATCTTTTATGCTAAAGGATCACAGATCCGCTATTCTTTTAAAAGGGGGATTAAGAAGTTTAAATACCATTATTTCCACTTGGACCTTGAGGTATTTATTTTTTAGACGAATTTGTTCTCATTGAGTAAAGTGTATTGCTTTGAGTTGTTTGATTAGCTGTTGATGCCGAAGCATTACTTTTTTACTGCTAAAAGCTTTCACAAGTCTTATTAGATACACCAAACTTGTTGGGCCTAAAAGAAGTGCTGGTACTATTACTTCCGACAGGTGCATCATTACCTTCATTTGGATTTTTCTTTGAGATAGAGTTTGCATTATCAGTACTGAATTTTTTCTTTTAATTCACTAATTTTCGCTGTAAATTACTCTAGGTCTTATTAGAGATTTACAGCCCAGTGATCATTATACTCTCTTCAATGCCATTTTGCTAATGAGAAAGTACATATTAATGAACTTAATCGTGATTGAGAACTTGGTTTAAACTGGATACATTAGCGTTGAAATCAATATTCTTAGGGAGGAATTCTACTTCTGCTAGTTCATTAACAGCACCAGTACCTGAGATAATCTACTAGTTTCCTATCTCACCCAACTCACAAGGTATTTGCGACCTTGTAGTGAATATTTTCCGGATTCTAAGATGACCCTCTATTTGAATCTATTCGAGGCATTTATAGTAGTTAGGATGTTATTATGAAAGCCCACTTGCTCCATTTGATGGAGGTGTTTGCTATGATTGCTGTTTTCCAAAGCACTCGTTTACAAAGGATTAGATGTCTATACAAAGATTAAGCCAAATGTTTCTCTTAATGACACCATTTGGAATTCTAGCATGCATCGAATTAGTGACTATTTCTTTAGATCCCTCAACAAACATCAATCGACGTCTATTCTAACACAATTTTAACAAAAGTTTATTCATACGTTGTTTTTGTCCTTCACATGAAGCTCGCAAGAAAATGGATCTCCAGATGCCAAGAAGATCTGTAAAACGAGGTATCTGTGAATGATATCAAGCTTGCCTGTAGAATTCATTGAGTTACTGAGCTTAGACCCACCTCCTTCATGATTATTACTGATTGCTGGCATGAGTATTTTATGACCTTCAAGAAAGTAAACATTCCCTTTCAAAGAACTATCAAAGTCTTTTTTCAACTCTCCTTGGTGAGAACCGTTAATAGCTGTGAAAGTTTTCTATGGATTTGATCCTAAGATAATGATTAATAAGCTGCATTATTGGAAAATTTAGACGAAAAATATAGTATAGACATATATATAAGCTTACCTTAAGCTGTCAAAAGCTCAATACATTGTTTATACATTTTAATATTTACGAAATATCAATATAATTTAATAAAAATCATAATTCCAAACATCATTGTTGAGGGGTTTTGGGGTTTTGGGGTTTTGGGGTTTTGGGG